CACCGTAGGGTTCCCCCCTGGGTAAACACTTACGGCCACGGCAGCATCATCGGACCATGCCACCTCCTGTGGAGCTTATTGTGCCCGTGGCCAGTGCAAGCCACACTCTACATGGCTCCTCAGGCTGTGGGGAAGCCCAGATTTGCCTTTTGTACAGACACGGAGAGACCACCAGGCACAGCCCCTCGAGGCAGAGGCTAACATGAGTGGAACAAGACCATTTGCCCTTAGTGGAAAAATCTTCATTATTAGGATAACATATTTTGTGGTGAATGTAGGGCAAAGCCCTTTGTCTCAGCTGGAGCTCTCTGGGCAAGCTCTGTCCCTGCAGGGTGCTGGGCAGTGGAGGGCTCTGATTTACCCCGTGGCCCGCTGTGTGGGTGGCTGACAGGGCCACGGCGTGGCCGGGAAGCCACCACGAGCACAGCAGCCCTGACCACGGCAGGGTGCTGCCGGAGACGGGGCGAGGGCTGTGGGCAGCCAGCGTGTCTTGCAGTTGGGGGGAGAGTACTTTCCTCTCCAGCACTTCCCAAAATGTTTGCAGAAGCGCAGTCTGCCCTATGGCTGGTAGGATGGTGTTCCCCACAGTGGCTATTTACTGGAGACCACTGGGGCTTTCAAATCCCAAGAGGATTTTATGCTCTTTTTAGTGGTTTTGGGGGGATTTTTGCTGTTGGTGGCGATGAACTCACTTGTTTTCTTTTTTTTCCCCTCCCAAAAACTCCTAACAAACTAGGAAATTCCCATCATGGGACACTCAGGGTGCTACTGAAAAATACTGAGGCCAAGAAACATCAAGATCAAGATTACAGCTAGCTAAACTTAAATCTCTCTCCGAGTTAGTAAAGCTCAGTCAATTCTTTAATTGCATAATATTTATAATGTTTTACAACAGAGTGGCATTAAACTCAGTAGTCATCTGTGTACTCATGCACGGTGAGTCATTTGTATAGAAATTACACACTGAATGATATTGCCATGAATTACTACAAGTTGAAGGTACCTAGCAAGAGCAATAGTGAAAATTTGCTAACAACCATCTCTTAGTAGAGATACTTTTGTCGCTTGGGGATTTATAGCGCACGAAGGGAAAGGCCTGCCAATAAGAGAATAACTGCTGAGTAAATTGTTAAAACATTCCTTAGTAAGATGGGGATTTTCTGTGTGCACATCTGCCAAGAGTTAAGCGAATCAAACTTGTTTGAGGCTCAAATGTTTTTGAACTGTTTCATCACGATGATGAAAATACCCGATGGATATAACATTAAAGAAGTGTTATCCCAACAGAAAACCTGAGCCCACAGCAGCCGAGTGGATCCGGGACTATCCTTTCGTCTAGCTAAGGCACTGCATGAAACACAGGTGTGGCTGAAATAAATACTGGTCACACTAAAGTCAGGGCCACTGTGGCACTGACAGTGGAAGAACGGGCACTTTGCCCACGAAAGGCTCCTGTCCACCCTCGTTACGCTCTCTCACGCCTCCACAGATTAACACCAGCAAGGAAATAAATCCAGGATGAAGCTGGGCGAAATGCCGTCGCCTTCCAGCCAGGTGCCTGCGGCGCCTCGAGCCGGTCACCATCACCAGCTCTCAGAGATGACGGCTCGAGGCGTTTTGCGATGCAAATTCACGCTTTCTCCGTGCAGTCAAATGCCCCCTGTACAATCCCTCTCCTCCCTCGGGCTCTGCACTCGCATGGGCACTAAAAACGGAGCTGCAGATCCCAGAAGGGGAATTACGTGCGGATAACCCAGCAGCACACGAACCCTGGGGACGGGGGCCTTCTCGTGGGAGCTCATGGGAGAGGGATGGCATCGCTGTGCCAAAGGGGGGCTTGGATGAAGGAGATGATGGCGGGGGGTCAGCCCCTGAGTGGAAGGTGAGGTCCTTCCCGGCGGACAGGCACAGAGCGGGTACTGGAAAGCCAGAGGAGGGAGATGCCCCAAGTGGCATCACCAACTTTGAAAACAGGTGGAGGAGCCCGAAGGTCCAGGTGACAACGGACAACTTGGGAATAAGGAGGAGGGAAAACAATGCTCGCTGCCTGATTTTATTTTTCTTTTTGCAATGCAGAAGAAAGGAAGTGGGTTCTTCCTTTGTGCAAAACATGCTCCTGCCCTGCGTGCAGCAGGTGCCGCGCTACAGGAGCGCAACCCAGCTCCACCCGTTTGCACGGCCCCGGTGGCCCCACCAAGCCCAGCGGTGCTGCACCGCACCGCACCCACAGGCGACTGCCCCTTTCGGGTGGGGGCGTAGGGTTGGGGGGGACCCCCTTCCCAGCTGGTGGGACCCCACTGCCTGCCTCTGCAACACTGGGTTTGCTGAGAAGGGACACCACCACTCTCCCCCAGGCAGCGTGGAGGAGCCTTGTCCACCCCGGTTTGCAGCCATCTCATTTAAGACATACTGCCCGTCACTGATCCCAGCGATTGGATGGAACGTGGTGTGGGATTTGGGGTGTGAGGTTCAGCTTCAAAGCTGGCTCCAGGTTTTCTTCTGCCGTGTCCGTGTTTGCACAAAGCCTCTTCTCCTTGGGCCCCACAGGGAGCAAGCGAAGGGTCCCGCAGCCGGGGTACCTGTCCCAGGGTGAGGGGGACCTGCTCTTCCAGGGTGTCCCGGCTGCCGGAGACCCGGCCAGGGTGTTGGGGACATCTGCTGGGGGGGTTCTGTGCAAACATTCAGCCCGGAAGGTCTCTTTTCTGACACGTGCATCATGGATGTTAACCACAAGGCAACTCCAGGAGGGTCCTTGCTATGCTTCTTGCCTGGGGGTCAGTGCTGCCCTTCCCAGAGCTACCTGTTGGGTATTTCGCCGTAGACTTGCACCTCTGAGTCGCTGTGGCTCTCTCTCACATCATCCCCACAGAGGACATCACTCTCTGCCCTCTCCTGAAGGCTCCCTGCAGCCCCTTCTCCCTCCTGGAGGCCTTTGCATGGGTGTTTCATCCTGGCCCAGCAGAAGAGCTAGCCCACAGCTCCTCCGGGGCCAGGTTCTTCAGGCCATCAGCTGTGAGCCCAGCCATGGCGGTGGGTGCGATGGGTGAGGAACGCTTTCAAGGAACCCTCAGAGCCGCGTGAGGTAGGCGTTTGCCCTCGCATGTGGCAGGAGAGCTGGCACCAGGCTTGCTCCAGAGCTTCATCTTTGGGTGCAAAGCCCCATTTGGGGGTGCTGAGGCTGTTGTTTACAGCTGGTGGGGTTTCCCAGAGTTGAGAGATGATTTGGAGTTGGACTTTCTGAAGGCAAGGCAGCATAACAAATGAGGTAACAGCCCCTTCACGGAGAGGGGGCAGGAAGTTTGCGCCTCCTCTTTCCATTGTATCATCGCCTCTCCCTCTTTCCTTTCCCCGTTGACTTCAGTTACCTTTTCTGTCTTCTAGTGCAAAACATTTTCAGGAAGTTTTGGGTTTAGACACAAAAATCTCAAATCCAGGTGCTTTCGGTTTCAGTGCAAGAGGCAGGGATTTTCCACAGCTCAGCCCCTGGATCTCAGGCCACCACCGGTCATCTGGTGGTTGAGCAGAAATGAGGAGAACATCTGCTTTGAACATCTACCTGTCCATTCAATAACAGCAGCTGTATAGGGAGGATGACATTTGAGAGACTTCAGCTCAAGATGATGGGAATTGTAGGGAAGGCAAAATCTGTTGAGATTCCTACTGATTTGGGACAAAAATCTCAAGAAAATAATTACTGGGGTTTTGGTATGCTTGAAACCTAATCTGGCCCTAAATCTAAGAGGGAAACACTGAATAATGAAGCAGTTGAGATCTGCTTCTGCATGACATGACCGGATTTATTCTGCATGTGCAGCACCAGCTCTGGAAATGATGTCGCAGCACCACGTCAGGATGCAGTCAGAGGAGCAGCATAGCTCACTCCAATGTCCCAAGTGGTGGGACACAACACGGCTGCTCCAGGAGCTGCTTCCTTCCACGTCCCCCTCGCCTTCAGTCCCAAAACGTGGGCATGAAGCCTCACATGTGGGCCACAGAACTGCCACGGTTTCCACGTGCCTCTGGTTTCAGTGAGCCTGGCTGCAGGGAGGGGGACAGGTACACAAACAGGGGCAACTCTTAGTCATGTAGGTCTGGGCACCTTGGTAGGAGAAATACCGATGAAATTCACATTATGAAATAACTTCCTCCAGCGAGCATGAAAGGCACTTGTTCCCACGCTGCGCTGTGACTTAGAAGCTCCATTTTGATTTTGCAGGAATAAGATGAAAGTTTTCTTGGTATCTGATTTCTGTGGTTAAAAACAATGTTTAAACACTTGTTTAAAAAAAAAACACAACACAATCATAAGGCAAGTTTGGAGAACCGAGCTCCTATTTTTATCTGTTTTTTCTTATGCCAGGGGAACATACGCTATACCGGCACACACACATTTTGTAACTTGCAGCTATGACATGAACAACAGCAACTGGTGCAGAAGGTGATTGCAAAATGCAGAAATGAGTGTTCATGACAGAGAAAGTGCCAAAAAATGCACCTTAATTCAATCTGGATCTCCATGATCCTACACAAGAATTTCTTTCGGCAGGACTCCTTCTTATTTTGCGACTTGTCAGCCTTTTTTTTTTCGTAATTTCTGTTTATTCAGTGGTTAGGCCATGTTATGACCAGGTTTTTGACCATGTTTAACACGTACCAGGTCAATCCTATTACAAGTGGAAAAATTAACATCCTTATGAGTACTTCCATGGGGTGCTCAGCACAGTGCACCAATGCCTCACAGACACACAGAACGGTTGAGGTTGGAAGGGACCTCTGGAGGCCATCTAGTCCAACGCCCCCGCTCAAGCAGGGCCACCTAGAGCTGGTTGCCCAGGACCATGTCCAGATGGGTTTTGAGTATCGCCAAGGATGGAGGCTCTACCACCTTTCTGGGCAACCTGTGCCAGTGCTCGGTCACCATCACAGTGAAAAAGTGTTTTCTGATGTTCAGAGGGAACCTCCTGTGTTTCAGGTTGTGCCCATTGCCTCCTGTCCTGTCACTGGGAACACTGAGCACAGCCTGACTCTGTCCTCTTTGTACCCTCCCTTCAGGTATTTATATACATTGATGAGATCCCCCTGAGCCTTCTCTTCTCCAGGCTGAACAGCCCCAGCTCTCTCAGCTTCTCCTCATAGGAGACACTCCAGTCCCTTTATCATCTTTGTGGGCCTTCACTGGACTCTTTCCAGTATGTCCGTGTCTCTCTTGTACTGAAGAGCCCAGAACTGGACCCAGCCCTCCAGGTGTGGCCTCACCAGTGCTGAGCAGAGGAGAAGGACCACCTCCCTCAACCTTCTGGCAACAGTCGTCCTAATGCAGCCCAGGATACTATTAGCTTTCTTTGCCGCATGTTCAACTTGGTGTCCACCAGGACCCCCAGGTCCTTTTCTGCCAAGCTGCTTCCCAGCCGGTCAGCCCTCAGCGTGTACTGCTGCTTGGGCTTGTTCCTCTCCAGGTGCAGGATTTTGCACTTCCCCTCGTTGAACTCGATGAGGTTCCTGCCAGCCCATTTCTCCAGCCTCTCCAGGTCCCTCTGCATGGCAGCATGACCCTCTGGTGTAGCAGCCACTCAGTGGCCAGTTTGGTGTCATCTGTAAATTTGCCGAGGGCGCACTCTGCCCCCATCATCCAGGTCATTAATGAAGATGTTGAACAGGATCGGACCCACTATTGATCCCTGCCGTACACCGCTAGTTACTGACCTCCAACTAGGCTTTGTGCTGCTAATCACCACCCTCTGGACCCGGCTATACATCCAGTTTTCAAGCCACCTCAACACTTCAGCATCCTCTGTTGATTTATCTATCCAGCGCTTGCGTGCAAGTAAGTGGGGTGCTCTCTGCTTTATTGTGGGAAAGGAAACCTCAGAGAAGTGGTGAACAGTGACTAGATGGAGACTTGGCATCTGGTGGGGTTTTTTTTCAGAGCAGTTTGTAGTTGCTTGCTCAAAGCGCGGCTGTAACTGGCTGTAGCACCTACCCTGAGCGCTCAGAACTTCTGCCCGTTTCCACTACCCCGGCCCCAGATCCTACAGAATCCCGTGGCTTTTGGGAGAAGGTGGGTCCAGCTGGTTGTGGAGTAAAAAACCTTCCATAACGAACCAGCGGCGGTCAGAGCGAGCTGTCGGTTTTGTGGCTATTGCCACCTAGACTTGGTGTGGGCAGAGCACAGAGAGCAATCCGTTCGCACCGCGGCAGTGATTCACCCGCAGAGCGGTGCCCACACGGCGCTGAGCGCAGCACCGTCTCGTGGAGAACGCAGTGGGCGGTCACCCAGCGAAAGGCTGTCGCACACCCCTGCACATGGCGCCCGTGGATGCACAGGACCCGGGCTGACTCCGTACAGTTTTAATGTCGGCGTCTCCTAATTTGTAAGACTAGGAAGGCAACTTTAACGTGGGCTTTTATTGTTACTTTTATGACTCCCGTCTTCTTTTTATACTGCGCAGGAGAGCGGGCAGGAGAAGGAAGACGTGGCACCTCAGAGAGCCGTGATGCTTGCTGGTGCTGGCCACTGGCACGGCCACGGCGCAGAGCTCTGTGCTCTGCCGTGACACGCACCAGCTCTCTGAGGACACAAGGAGCACCACAGACCAGTTGCTGCACAGCTGCTCCCTGGACAGCAAGGGAAAGCAGAGGTGTGGGTGCACACAGGTTCCTGCTGGGATACGTGTCCGACCGACGGCAGGCTGCCCTCCTGGGGCTGCCAAGCATCTTCCTCCCTCCTCAGGTCCTGCCTGTGACAGGTCCTCCCAAGGACCCCACTGGTCCTGCATCCAACTGTTGTACAGCAGCATATGGATGAGATCCTCGGGGAACTGGGGGCAAACGCTAACATTTCTACTGAGCTGATATTTTGGGGTGACCCGGGGCTTGGCCAGAGGATGCAGGAATTCGCTGCAGTGAGCAAAAAGCTGGTGGCCACATCCTCATAAGCACATCCCTCTGTCATGGTTGGCTCCCCTGGGAGGCTGGCACCTCTCTGCAAAACCACAGCATTATTTTTTCACATATGAGAGCAAACGTCTCCTTTAAATTTTACTTTTGGTAATCATTAAGACATTTTTTGGTGGAATTTTACGGCAGCGCTCACCCCGAGGTAGTCTTTCAGCAAAACCAGCCCCAAACCCAAACCGTACCTGGCTGGCCCAAGCTGGACAGACCCGAAAGATGTTGTGCAATAGAAAGCGTTGGGGACATGGGACCACAGTGACTGCTGCCACCCCAGCCTCCCGCACTGCTCCCAAACCTCCCC